AGGAGGGATGTTGAATTGATGGAACCTGGAACGGTTGGGACGGAGTTGCAGGCGCAAGGACGGGAGCCTCCACTCTGGGTTGACTCCCGGCGGGCTGCCTTGGCAGTTGACAGAGCATCTGACGGGGGCCTCCCGCATGTGCCTGGGGTAAGCCGAGCCACTATAAATGGGTCACGCGGCAGTGGGCGCCCAGCTGTGCCGACGCGTCTTACACCGACCACCTCCAGTGGCGGCAGAGACCTTCACAGCTCTCTCCGTCTCCTCGACAGAGCCAACAAAATTTCATTGAGAAGACTCTCTAACACAGTATCTGGCTTTACTAGAATATTCATGCATGATGCGAGTGACGTAAGTGATCGGCCTGACAACGATACTTCAACCACATCTCTCTATCCCCCCAGCGTGGAACCGCCATCATACTTCCACCTCCGCCAGCCGGGCCACCATGGCCGCAAACTCCTCGTCCGTGTGCTCCTTGTAGTCCTTGAAGCGCCGGTGCAGAGTCGTCGGGCCGCGCCGGAACTTCTGCACCGTGAGCCGCCCGCCGGCCAGGCGCTTGCACTCAACCAGGTCCTCCATGTCGACCAGGTCAGGCACCAGGGTGGTGCGGAACTGGTGCGCCACGCCGCTCTCGCGGATCAGGCTGATGCTCTCGGCCAGGAGCGACACGTCGACCTTGCGGCCGGCCACCTTGCGGTAGCGGGGCAGCGCCGCCTTGATGTCCATGGCCACGAAGTCGACGAGCCGCTCCGCGAAGACGCGCCGCAGCACCGACGGCGACGTCCCGTTGGAGTCGAGCTTGACGCTGATGCGGTGGGAGCGGAGGATGCGCAGGAACGGCACCAGGCCCGCGTGCATGGTCGGCTCGCCGCCCGAGACGACGAGGCTCTTGTGCGCCGACGCCGTGACGTGGTCGAGGACTTCGGAGGGAGTCACCACCGGCGAGTCCGGGTCGGCCTCCCCGCGCACCACCGGGCCGTTGTGGCACCACGGACAGGCGAGGTTACAGCCCGAGGTGAACATGATGCTCGCCTGGACCTTGCCCGGGTAGTCGCTGAACGTCTGCGGTATGAAGCCCGCGATAGGGAGCTGGAGCTCTCCCAAGGCGGAGGCGAGCTGCCCGTTGCAGAGGCGCTTCTCGGCCGTCAGACTGGCCTGCCCGGGGTAGCGGTACGTCTTGCGCAGGCTAAACTCCTCCTTCTTGCCCCTGTTCCAGTCGCGCGTCGGGCGGAAGTATCCCACGATGCGCGAATAGACCAGGCATTCGGCCCCGCACTTGGGGCAGGTATGCGACTCGCCGCTGATGTGGCCGTGCGTCTTGCAGATGCTAAAGGTGGGCGTGAGAGAGACGTACGGGATCCGATACTTGGTGACGATGCTGCGGACGAGGTCCCGCGCGTGCGTCCAGCTGGGCAGACGCTCGCCCAGGAGCACGTGGAAGACGGTGCCGCCCGTGTAAGTCCGGTGCAGCGGCTCCTGGTGGTCCAGCGCCGCGAACAAGTCGTCGGTGGCGTCGACGGGGAGCATAGTCGAGTTGGTGTAGAAGTTGGGAAGCGAGACGTGTGGAGACATTTCTTGGTCTCGCTGCGCCAGCTTGTAGCAGGTGCTCTCCGCGGGAGTCGCCTCGAGGTTGTAGAGGTTCCCCGTCTCCTCCTGGAACTCCTGCAGCCGCTGTTTGATGAACTCGAGCACTTCAAGCGCGAACTCGCGGTGGACTGCAATGCCCTCGCCGAACAGGACGTCCAGGGCCTCGTTCATGCCAACTACCCCAATGGTGCTGAAGTGGTTGGTCCAGTACGACCCCGTTCGCTTCTTGATGGCGGATAGGTAGTGAGCAGCGTAGGGGTAGAGCGCCGAGTGCTCATTGACCACCTTGCGCTTAGTCTCCAACGAGTCCTTGGCGACCCGAAGCGTCTCGTCCACGATAGCTAGGAAAGACTCCTTGGTTCCGTCGGACCTCATAGCCAGGTTCGGCATGTTCAGGGTGACGACGCCCATAGAGCCCGTGAGAGGCACGGACCCAAACAGCGAGCCGCCCCGGCTATGTAGCTGGCCGACATCAAGACGAAGTCGGCAGCACATGGAACGAAAGTCTTCCGGGTTCAGGTCGCTGTTGAGGAAGTTGGTGAAGTAGGGCACGCCATACTTGGCCGTCATGGCCCAGATGGGCTCAAAGCGCGGCGAGTCCCAGTCGAAGCCGTCATAGAGGTTGTAGGTCGGAATGGGGAACGAGAAGATGTTGCCGTTTCCGTCTCCCTGGTACATCACCTCCGCAAAGGCACGGTTGAGGGCGTCCATCTCCTCCTGGAAGTCGCCGTATGTCCACTCGGCGTGGTGCTTCCCCTGAAGAATCACCGGCTGCTCGCGCAGGTTCTTTGGGCAGATGACATCGAGCGAGATGTTGGTGAACGGAGCCTGGAAGCCGCTCCGCGTCGGGACGTTGAGAGAAAACACGAAGCTCTGCACTGACTTGTAGACCTGGTCATACGACAGGCCGTCGTGGCGTATAAAAGGAGCGAGGTATGTGTCAAAGTTGGAGAGCGCCTGGGCACCGGCCAGCTCGCCCTGGAGGGTGAAGAGAAAGTTGACAGTCTGGTGTAGAGCCGTGCTGAAGTGGCAGGGAGGTTCGTATTGGATCTTGTTCTCGACGCCGCCGAAGCCTTGGAGTAGAATGTCTTCTATGCTCCAACCCGAGCAGTAGGCGCTCAGGAATCCCAAGTCATGAATGTGGAAGCGGTTCTCCTGGACCGCTTGGCGTACCTCTTCGGAGTAGACATGGTTGAGCCAGTACTCGGAGACTATGTGAGTAGATACGTATTGGATGAGGCCCTGATGCGAGTATGTAGAGTTGGCGTTCTCTGATGTCTTCCACGATGCCTTGGTCAGGTACTGCTGGACCAGAGACGTCACGGCCTCTGGTGCCAGGCTCGAGGAAGGGCACGTCATGATGATCAGTCACACAGTAAAGCAGGAAAAGGAACTGCGCGCCGATTCAAGTAGGCGGGCCTTCGGCTGGCTTTAAAAGCTTTCTCGGATCTGTTGTGATGTGCGCATTCTCGCCTGGAGCAAGCAGACGCGTTGACGTGGATGACATCCGTGTTAATTGGGAAACGCGTCGCGACGTGGCCATCTGGGCGCGTCGTGCTCGCGAGATCATCTGACATGACATCGTCGGTTGGCCTTGGAGAGAGTGGTCGAGTCCACTATCTCCTGATCAGATCCAGTCTCGGCGGCCGTGATGCTTCCAAGTACGAAGTACAAGCGGCCGGCGCTGGCAGTGAGGGCGACACCCGCTGGAACGGTGCCCCACCAGCGTGCCGCGCCGCCTGAAGAGCCAGCGCTTCGGTGGGGCTCTCGGGCGGGCTGGGCCCGGATAGCGGGGCGGTGTGACTCGTCGAGTCGCTCTGAGTCGAACTCGCACCGTGATCTCACCAAGTAACCTTGCCTTCCATTTATATTGCACCCCGCCTGGCACGACGGCACGCTGCGGCAAAACCGATTGTTTTCGACCGATACCTACTGCCAGCGGCTTTGTAATCTCGCTCCTCCTAGCACCTGCTCCGGAACTCAATCCACGCAAGGGGGCCCAACATGGCATCCGACAATTTGGCCACGGCCGAGGCGCAATGGCGAGAACAGTTCGCCGCGATGCGAGCGGCCCTCGCTGAGCTCAAGCTCCCGCCCCAGGCCCCGAAAGAAATCCAGGACGACTGGGACGACGACGAGTTCGAGGGGTACTCCTCGGAGAACAGAGGGCAGGACGTATGGGACTTCATCTCCGACGACGATCAAGACGAGTACAGCAGCGACTTTGTTGAGCCTGACGGCGTGGGCGATGCATCTGCCTTTAGTGCAGAATGGCTCGCCGCAAACTGCTCCGAGATCGCCGTCCAGAATGGCCTCGCGCCAGACGTCTTCCAGTCTCAGATTACGGGCCTTCTCTCGTCCGGCCGTCCCGAGCAGGAGCTGCAGGCTGAACTCACAGACCTGGTCGGCTTCGACCATCTCGACTTCATCATCGAAGTCCTCGCCCACAGGGACGAGGTTCTGGCCGGGATCTCGGCCCAGGACCAGGCGTCCAGCTCTGGGCCACGCATCTTGACCAAGGCCCAGCGCGAAGAAGCTCTTCGCCAGCAAGACATCAAGCACAAGACGGCTACCCTCGCGCCCAGTTACGCCAAGGAGCCGCAGTATCCGCACGTGTACAAATCCTACCACGCGGGCAACACGCTGAGCTCGACGGGGCAAAAGTACAGCCTGCCCGTCGGCACCGAGCGCCACCAGTTTGACAAGTACGAAGAGTACTCCGTCCCCGCAGGGCGCAAAGGCACCCTCGGTCCTGGCGAGAAACTCGTCAAAATCTCGGACCTCGATGGACTGTGTAGAAACACCTTCAAGGGGTACAAGACCCTGAACCGCATGCAGAGCCTCGTTCACCCCGTCGCGTACAAGACCAACGAGAACATGCTCATCTGCGCCCCGACGGGTGCGGGTAAAACTGACGCTGCCATGCTCACGATTCTTCACACCATCGGGCAGCACGTCTACCCCAACCCGATGGAGGACACCACGGCGACGGAGTTTGCAGTCGACATCGACGACTTCAAAATCGTCTACGTCGCCCCGATGAAGGCGCTGGCCGCCGAGGTGACGGAGAAGCTCGGCAAGCGTCTCGCGTGGCTCGGCATCAAGTGCCGCGAGTACACCGGAGACATGCAGCTGACCAAGGCGGAGATTGTGCAGACGCAAATTATTGTCACCACGCCGGAGAAGTGGGACGTAGTTACGCGGAAGGGCACGGGCGACACGGAGCTGGTCCAAAAGGTCAGGCTTCTGATTATCGATGAAGTGCACATGCTCCACGATGAGCGCGGTGCCGTTCTCGAGTCGCTCGTCGCTCGAACCGAGCGTCAGGTGGAGAGCACACAATCTTTGATTCGCGTCATCGGCCTCAGTGCCACTCTGCCCAACTACGTCGACGTTGCCGACTTTCTCAAAGTCAACCGATATGCCGGCCTCTTCTACTTTGACGCCTCCTTCCGCCCTGTACCCCTTGAGCAACACTTCATCGGAGTCAAGGGCAAGGCGGGATCCAAGCAATCCAAGGAAAACCTCGACAACGTGGCTTTCGACAAGGTCAAGGAAATGCTCGAGAGGGACCACCAAGTAATGGTCTTTGTGCATTCTCGGAAAGACACCATGGTCAGCGCGAGGATGCTGCATCAGAAGGCCATTGAACACATGTGCATGGACTTGTTTGACCCCAGTGGCCATCCAAGATACGAACAGGCATCGAGAGACATGAAGACGTCTCGCTCCAAAGATATCCGAGACCTCCTATCCAAAGGCATCGGTATTCATCATGCGGGCATGGCACGAGCGGACCGAAACTTGATGGAGCGCCTGTTTGGCGAGGGTGTCCTCAAGGTTCTCTGCTGTACGGCCACGCTCGCCTGGGGTGTCAACTTGCCTGCTGCGGCAGTTGTCATCAAGGGGACTCAGGTCTACAGCGCGCAGGAAGGCAAGTTTGTCGACCTCGGGATCCTCGACGTGCTGCAGATCTTCGGTCGTGCGGGTCGACCCCAGTTCGAGGACACTGGTATCGGCATGATTTGCACGACCCAGGAGAAGCTGCACCATTACCTGACTGCCATCACGGAGCAGCTCCCCATCGAGTCCAGGTTTTCGGCGAAGCTTGTGGATAACCTTAACGCTGAGATTGCGCTCGGGACAGTCACTTCCATTCAGGACGCGGTCCAGTGGATCGGCTACTCATACCTCTTTGTTCGTATGCAGAGAAGTCCGACTTCGTACGGCATTGAGTGGGCTGAGATTAGGGACGACCCTACCCTCGTTCAGCGGCGGCGCCAGCTCGCCATCCAAGCTGCGCGGACCTTGCAGCAATGCCAGATGATCATATTCAACGAGCGCACCGAGGAGCTGCGCAGCAAGGATATCGGACGCATTGCCAGCCAGTACTACATCCTGCACACATCTATTCAGGTGTTCAACACCATGATGCAGCCCCACGCCACGGAAGCCGACATTCTCAAGATGATCAGCATGAGCGGCGAGTTTGACAATGTCCAGTCACGCGACAGCGAGGCCAAGGAGCTCACGAACCTCAAAAACGAAATCATCCCCTGTGATGTCGACGGAGGAATCGATACGCCGCAGGCAAAGACTAATATTCTCCTGCAGTCGTACATTTCGCGGCAGCAACCAGAGGATTTCGCGCTCTCCAACGACATGAACTACGTCGCGCAGCAGTCTGGCCGCATCTGCCGCGCCCTCTTCATGCTAGCGCTTAACCGCCGCTGGGGCCATCAGTGCCTCGTCCTCCTCACTTTGTCCAAGTCTATTGAGAAGCGGATATGGCCTTTTCAGCACCCTCTCCACCAGTTCGACCTGGCCAAACCTGTGCTCAACCAACTTGATGCGAAGGAGCACTTGACAGTGGAGGCCATGAAAGACATGGAGGCCGCCGAAATTGGTGGCTTGGTTCACAACCACGGCGCCGGAAAGAACATTGCCAAGATCTTGAACCACTTCCCTACAGTCCACGTTGAGGCGGAGATTGCCCCCTTGAACCGCGACGTTCTTCGGATCAAACTCTATGTCATCCCAGACTTTACCTGGAGAGACCACATACACGGAACATCGGAATCGTTCTACATCTGGGTGGAGAACTCGGACACGTCCGAGATTTACCACCACGAGTTCTTCATCCTGAACCGTAGGAAGCTTCACGATGACCATGAGCTCAACTTTACCATTCCTCTCTCAGACCCTCTGCCCACGCAGATTTACGTGCGTGCAGTCTCGGACAGGTGGCTCGGCGCAGAGACTGTCACGCCAGTGTCGTTCCAGCACCTCATTAGGCCCGACACAGAGAGCGTCTACACTGAGTTGCTCAACCTGCAGCCGTTGCCCATCACGGCCCTCAAGAACCCGGGGCTGGAGGAAATTTACGCCCAACGCTTCCAATTTTTCAACCCCATGCAGACTCAGATCTTTCACACTCTCTATCACACCCCGGCCAACGTCCTCCTTGGATCGCCCACAGGCAGTGGAAAGACGGTGGCCGCCGAGCTGGCAATGTGGTGGGCATTCAGGGAACGCCCCAAGTCCAAGGTGGTGTACATCGCCCCGATGAAGGCTCTGGTCCGCGAGAGAGTCAAGGATTGGGGAGCTCGCCTCGCGCGGCCCTTGGGCTTGAAGTTGGTCGAGCTCACGGGTGACAATACCCCGGACACGAGGACTATCAAGGACGCAGACATCATCATTACCACGCCCGAGAAGTGGGACGGTATTTCGCGTTCGTGGCAGACACGAGGCTATGTTCGACAAGTCAGTCTGGTCATCATCGACGAGATCCACCTCCTTGCTGGAGACCGTGGTCCGATTCTGGAAATCATCGTCTCGCGAATGAACTACATTGCCTCGTCAACAAAGAATGCTGTGCGGCTCCTGGGCATGTCAACAGCCTGTGCCAATGCCACTGACTTGGGCAACTGGCTGGGCGTGAAGGAAGGACTGTTCAACTTCAAGCATTCAGTCCGCCCGGTACCGTTGGAGCTGTACATTGATGGGTTTCCAGAGGTCAGGGGCTTCTGTCCGCTGATGCAGTCTATGAACCGGCCGACATTCCTAGCCATCAAGAATCACAGCCCGGACAAGCCAGTCATTGTGTTCGTGGCCTCACGAAGGCAGACCCGACTCACTGCCAAAGATCTGATCAACTTTTGCGGCATGGAAGACAACCCGCGACGTTTCTTGCGGATGGACGAAGACGACTTGCAGCTCAACCTGGCTAGGGTTAAGGACGATGCGCTCAAGGAAGCCATCAACTTTGGCATCGGACTTCATCATGCCGGTTTGGTCGAGTCTGACAGGCAGCTGGCCGAGGAGCTCTTCTTGAACAACAAGATCCAGATCCTGGTGGCCACCAGCACGCTGGCCTGGGGTGTCAATTTGCCTGCCCACCTGGTCGTCGTCAAGGGCACACAGTTTTACGACGCCAAGATGGAGGGCTACAAGGACATGGATCTGACGGATGTGCTGCAGATGCTGGGCCGAGCCGGGCGTCCGCAGTTTGACAACTCGGGTGTTGCCCGCATCTTCACGCAAGACTCCAAGAAGGACTTTTACAAGCACTTCCTCCACACCGGCTTTCCCGTGGAATCGTCACTGCATACCGTTCTCGACAACCATTTGGGAGCCGAAGTGTCTGCCGAAACAATCTTGACCAAGCAGGACGCGCTCGACTACCTGACGTGGACCTTTTTCTTCAGGAGACTGCACAAGAACCCGTCCTACTATGGCCTAGAGCTGTCTGCCGAGGAGCATAGCTCCATCGCCGCACAGCAGCTGGCCAACGAGTACATGGTGGAGATGGTTGAAAAGTCGCTCGGCGAGCTGGCCAAATCCAAGTGTGTCGAAGTGTTCCCCAACGGCGACGTCGACTCGACGCCCCTAGGCAAGATCATGAGCTACTACTATCTCTCGCATCTGACCATTCGACACCTCGTCCGAAACGCCAAGGCACAGGCATCGTTCCTCGATGTCCTGTCGTGGATGTGTCGCGCGACCGAGTACGACGAGCTTCCCGTGCGACACAACGAAGACCTTGTCAACGACACGCTCTCGTCCAACCTGCCGTTCCCTGGCCATTCTTTTGGCCTGCCCATGTGGGATCCCCACGTCAAGTCGTTCCTCCTGCTCCAGGCGCACATGTCCCGCATCGACTTGCCCATCACGGATTACGTTGGCGACCAGACAAGCGTGCTCGACCAGGCGATCCGTATCATCCAGGCATCCATCGATGTGCTCACCGAGCTGGGCCACTTGTCTAGTTGCCTGCAGATGATGAAGCTCATGCAGTCCATCAAGTGCGCCCGCTGGCCGAACGATGCTCCGGCCTCGATCCTGCCTGGCGTCGACCCAGACTCGACCAAGGACGACACGCCGCTTACCAAGTTAAGCACCTTCACGACGCCGCAGGTCAACCAGCTGGCGAAGAAGCTGAGAGTGCCTGCCGCACAGCAGTCGCGTTTCGCCCGCGCCGTCTCCTTCCTCCCCAACGTGTCCGTCTCACTCAGCGAAGCGACCGGCCAGTCGCTCACCGTGGACCTGAAGCGGCTCAACCCCCTCGTCGACCGCGACGCGCGCATCTTTGCGCCCAAGTTCCCCAAGCCCCAGACGGAGGGCTGGTTCGTCGTCGTCGCCGACGTGGAGCGCGACGAGGTCATTGCCGTGAAGCGCGTAGGCTGGTCCTCGGGCGCGGGGTCCGGCGCTGGCAAGAAGCCCGGCCGGGGCAGCGCTCCGTCGGCCAAGGCTACGATTCGCCTGCCCGAGCCGGTGGAGGGGCAGGAGCGCAAGCTGGACGTTCTGGTGGTCAGCGACGCGTACATTGGGCTGGAGTATAGTATCCCGAGGGTGGACAGGATGCTGCAGACTGGCTTGGAGAAGTAACATGCTTCTGCATATATATATGCTACATGACGAAGGATGTCACTCATAGAATTCTCACGGCACCCGCACGAGTACTGAATCAAGTAACGCATAGAAATAGACTTGGTAGGATGGATGTTGAACACTACGGGGCACGTATACAGAAAGGCTGCAGTGTAGTGGACCTGCCAATGCATGCAAGTCATTCAATTGTGAAAGCTGCTATAGAACAAACAAACACCCTGCTGAAGTAAGTGCCACGCTGTACGCAAAGTTCAAAGAGCAAAGAAAAAAACAAAGGCCCGACGCTCAGTTACCATCTCGCGAGAGAAAAATCCCGTCTCCGTGACTCTGTATCATCAACGTGCCCAGAGCAGCATTCGCCACGACGATGACTGGGTGACAGATAACCCAGGCCGTCGAGGCCGCGGGCTCCCGCATCAGGACCAAGAACCGCACCACCACTGCCGCGACCGCCACCAATGCGAAAAGACGCCTGCCTGCCTACCTACCTACCTACGCGCTCCTTCGCTCGTCCATCCCGCCCGCGCCGTCGCCACATATCCTGAACGCCTGTTCCGCTCATTCAGTCAGTCAGTCAGTATACAAGCCGTTCCAACCCTGCCTTTACCAGTGTATGAGGAGGAAGAGGAGGAGTAACGGAGAGAAACGCCGCCGACCCCATCGCCAAAAGAGACACGCGATGCCAGTTCCATGCATGGGGGGGAGGGTAAAAAAACAAACAGGTCCAGCGTGATGCAATATGAGAAGAGTGAGACGTTTGTAAAACAGCGGGAAAAGGGTTTAAAAAGCACAGGTCCACCGGGGTATCTCGCTCGGCTGGGCTGAGCTGAACGCTGCCGAAAATGACGACCGCCGTGCCGCCCTCCGCCAGTATATATATCCCTCCGGCCCGTTTATTCGTGTGTTTGTGAGAAGCGGTGCTGATCTAGCAGCATTTGCGTCGCTCTTTGTTGGTGTAGTCGGCCTGCGTCTGCTCCTGCTGAGCGGCGCCAGACTGGTCGATGGTAACGGCCGGTGAGAACGCCGGCGAGAAGAGCCAGCTGCGCCTGTCGCGACCAACGCGGAAACTGCCCCTAGCATTGGCGCCTTCAAAGTAACCGCCGTCCATGCCGGCCTCGAAGCCCGGGGTGCCGGGGCCCGTCATGGCGGCGAGGAGGGCCTGCTGCATCTTGCGGTCCTGCTCGACGAGCTTGCGGGCGACAACGCGAAACACTTCCTCGACACCTTCGCCGCTCTCGGCGCTAATCTCGTGGCACGCGTCCCAGCCGACCTCTTGAGCCCAGAAGCCGGAGCTGCGCTTGGAGCTCGGACTACGAGGCTCCACAGCGACGGCGCCGGACAGTGCCGAGGACTGGGCGCCGAGCGGCGTGGCGGTGGGCGGCGGGGTGCTGCCCAGGCCGGGGGCGAGGTTCTCGGCGACGTATGCGATGCAGCGCTCAAAGGGCACCTGTCGGGCCGAGGGGTCGCGGGCGACGATGTCGGCCTTTGTGCCTACGACGTGGAGGACGACGTCGCTGGGGAGGTTGCGGCGCAGCTCGGTGAGCCAGACGCCCATGTCCTCGAAGGACTGCGCGTCGGTGATGCTGTAGCATAGGATGCAGGCGTTGGCGCCGCGATAGTACAAACGTGATATGGAGCGGAATCGCTCTTGTCCGGCTGGCAAACAGTTAGCACTTGAGCCCAGATATGGGAAGAAGGAGGAGGGTGCTTACCGGTATCCCAGATCTGCAGGCGGACGACAGTGTCCGAGTCGGAGTCGATGACGCGCTTGGTCATGAAGCTGGCGCCGACGGTGGACGTGACCTTGGCAGGGTTGAAGGCGCCCTTGCAGTATCGCATGACGAGGGAGGTCTTGCCCACGCCCTGGGCGCCGAGGACGACGATCTTGGCCTCGAGGGAAGACATGGCTCGATTGCTCGCTTGTTTGGTTGTCTGGTTGCTTGCTTGTTTGGGTTGCCTGGTCTTGCCTTGTCGCCGTGCTTGGCGAGGGAGCGTTGGGAGGGCGTGTTTGCGGGAAACGTATTTAGTTTTCGGAGCAGGCGGTGGGTGACTGGTAGGGCGCACTCGTCGCGCACGGGAGGGACGCAGGGCGGTGAACGGGAGAGGGCGTTTGCTTGCTCGCGGGGCTTATCGCATGGTTCGTCGTCGTCGCCGCCTCTTTAAGAGGGTTGGGGGATCAACGGCCAGCTGGCAACTGTTGACGCGGGGCGGGGGAGGCAGCTGCCTGCAGGGTCATGGTCGAGGAGCGCTCGAGATGCGTCTATCACCGGCGATGCGCGGAGAGCGGTAGCACGGGTAATCGTGGTGGTGGTGGTGGTGGTGGTGGTGAGGCGACACGGTGATGCTGCGGCGAGGTTGTGCGGTGAAGGCCCTCGGACGGCAGAAGGGGCAAGCGGCGGTTTGGTAAGGGACGCTGCGATGCCTTTTTCCCGTGCGGTCAGGCGGCCCTGGGCTCGGATCGGAACGATGCGACGGGACGACGGCGGCGACGGCGGCGGTTGTGGTGAGGCGGGCTGAGGATCATCGATGGATGGATGTTTATGCCGGCGGTGCGGGCGGGAGATTGGAGCGCTGGAACGCGCCGGAGGGTGGGGGGACGAGCGCGGCCCACTGATGGCTGGAGCCTTCACGTGGTGCGCACGGCATGTGCCACTGCCAGCGACGTCATCCAG